GGGTTTTTTCCATGTAAACCAGTATAATGCAACTTAATAGGGTTTTTTCCATGTAAACCAGTACAATGCAACTTAATAGGGATTTTTCCATGTAAACCAGTATAATGCAACTTAATAGGGTTTTTTACATGTAAACCAGTATAATGCAACTTAATGGGGATTTTTCCATGTAAACCAGTATTATGCAACTTAATAGGGATTTTTCCATGTAAACCAGTATAATGCAACTTAATAGGGATTTTTCCTTGTAAACCAGTATAATGCAACTTAATAGGGTTTTTTTCATGTAAACCAGTATAATGCAACTTAATGGGGATTTTTCCATGTAAACCAGTATTATGCAACTTAATAGGGATTTTTCCATGTAAACCAGTATAATGCAACTTAATAGGGTTTTTACATGTAAACCAGTATAATGGAACTTAATAGGGGTTTTTACATGTAAACCAGTATAATGGAACTTAATAGGGGTTTTTACATGTAAACCAGTATAATGCAACTTAATAAGGATTTTTACATGTAAACCACTATAATGTAACCTAATAGGGGTTTTTACATGTAAACCAGTATAAAGCAACTTAATAGGGATTTGTACATGTAAACCAGTATAATGCAACCTAATAGGGATTTTTCCATGTAAACCAGTATAATGCAACTTAATAGAGATTTTTCCATGTAAACCAGTATAATGCAACTTAATAGGGATTTTTCCATGTAAACCAGTATAATGCAACCTAATAGGGATTTTTCCATGTAAACCAGTATAATGCAACCTAATAGGGATTTTTCCATGTAAACCAGTATAATGCAACCTAATAGGTTGCATTATACCACCAGACCAAGACCCAAACGAAGACTCAGACCACCACCAGATAATGACCACAGACCAGGTTTCCTTAGTTACAGGAACCAAATTGTTTCAGCGGTGAGGGGATTTTTCAGTTTCAAGGACACTTTCAATACATTCAGTAGTTTCAAGGATTTCAACTGTTTAAGAATTTAACCAGTTTCAAGGATATCAGGAGGTTCAAGGATTTCAGGAGTTTCCACACTTTCAACAGTTTCCAGGTTTAAAAAAAGTTTCAAGCATTTCAGGAGTTTCAATGTTTCAACAGTTTCAAGGATTTCAGGAGTTTAAAGGTTTCAACAATTTCAAGGACTTCAGGAGTTTCAAATATCTATCAAGTATTTTAACAGTTTCAAGGCCTTTTAAAGGATTTCAAGGATTTTTTTTAGCAGATTTCCACATTAGATCTGTTCCGCAGTCAATCGCAATGGCTTCAGCCATTGCAAGTTTCTAGTTAATATGTATAATTTTTTTCCCCTAAAGGCCACTTGTATTTTTATTTTCTGTGCGACAGGGAGAGCAGTAGAGATCCTCTCACAAACGGACGGGCTAAAAGAAACTTCAAGCGGAGAACCTTCAACCATTCATCCAGATGCACCCCATGGTAGTGGCAGTGCCCCTTCTGGTAAGTGTACCAGGTGGGGGATTACAGCCAGGCTGCTTGGTCCTAACCCTGGGAGTGTATATTGCTAATATATTTTTATTTCTCTCCCTAGAACGTTAGAGAAAGCCATGGTCTGCATCTGAGGTGAAGGCTGTGGAGAAGACCATGACACCTTTCATACAGACTGGAAAGGTCCCTGGGAAGTCTCACTGCCTGGCCTGCATTAATGCCTCACCAGATGACCTTAGACATCGGACATGGAGTGGCATTAAATTCTATGTCAAAAATAGAATCACTGCAATTCGAAAAAAAAATCTAAAATAAAATTCCTTTAAAAGAGTTGTTTGGTTTCTATTGACTGTTTTGTATTACTTAAAGTAGTCCCAGTAAAAAAAGATTATGTCTATGGGTCCCATTCTGAACGGCCCTGTCAAAGGGACCCACCAGGTAACAAAAACGTGTATGTATGTGTGTATGTATGTGTGTCTTTGTGTATGTGCGTGCGTGTGTCTGTGTGTGCGTGCGTGCGGGTGTGTGTCTAATTCTCTGATCTGTTAAAGGCGAATCATCAACTTTGTGAAGTCCTCTGAGACAACTGTGTGTTTATTAGTTTTAATATTTGACTCAGTTCAAAGGTCACTCACGTTTTATTGTATTTAAACCTGAATTTAAATAACCTGCACCGCGACATCAGCAGGAAACACATCTGCTCACATGGTATTTGTCTAGAAGTGTTGTTCCTTTCTGGTAGAAGACGGCACTATGTGGACAACAGTACATTTAACAGATGGACTCCTTATTTAGAGTTTGTTAAAGATGTGGAACAAAACAGTTAAGTTTAGGTTATAACCAAAAGCTCTGTTAACATCAAGCTAGCATCATAAGCTACATTTAGTTTGTATCTAAATATTTGGGGAAAGTAACTTCAAAGTACTGCAGAAGTAGATCCTGAGACTGTAATATTGTAGTAACACATTCGTTTTGATTTATATTTTACTGTTTAAATTAACAATAAACACATATTGGGTTCAAATTCTTTAATAACATACATACATGGTTGTTGTCTTGAGCTAATTAGCTTTAAAATGAGGTACAACAGGCCATGGAACCTCCTACTAACCTCACAATCACTGCTGCAACCGTAAAACTCAAAAATCATATAGGGGCCGCTGAAACTAGTTTTGAGGACCACGTTTGGTCCGTGGGCCTCGAGTTGGACACTTGTGCCTTTTAGAATTGGAACAAAAACATCTCAGAAAATCGCCTTCACTGCAAAAAATGATAACATATGAGGTAGTATTTGCTTGAATTAATTGTGACTGTGTTAAAACAAGAATCTCCAATGAGACAAATTCCAAAGGACACATTTCTTGCATCTTTTTAAAACAAGATCATTTTTGCTTTGTCCCATTGGAGAATCCTGTTTTAATGCACTCAGAATGTGCTCAAATGAAGACACATTTTGACAAATCTGAGCAATTTTGGACTTATTCTGCATCACTTTTTGCAGTGTGTGGTTTTGTTGCGTGTCACAGAATACATTAGCAGCTGCAGAATCCTCTCCCTGGAACAAAAACCAACGCAAACTCCCTCCTCGAGCCTTTCTGTCTCTAACATCACGCATTGGTAATCAGCCTCATCATACACACACACATACACACACACGCACACACACGCACACGCACACGGGGGCTGGGAGGAGCACACGTGACCAGAGCCTGAAGTAGACGCTCATAAAGTGGAGAAAGCAGAGAGAGAGACGCACAGAGAGAAAAACGCGCTCCATCCACGACCCACGCTTCTCACCGCGGTCTCTCCAACTTCTGCAACTCCCAGAAAAGCCGCTCTGTCTCCTGCTATGTCTCCTGCTGGGATCTCTCTGTAAAACTGTTCGTGATCTTTCCAGGTTTTGTCTAAAATTCGCCGCGTTTTGTGACTTGGATTTGTTTAACCAGGGAATCTTCGTGCGCACACAAGGGCATTATGTAAGGTAAGGTCTGTTCATGGTGTTGCCTACATGGTTCCTCTCTGGTTTGGGGTGAGGTGTAGCTTAGTGCAGTTACAAATGCATGAGTAAAAGTAAGATTTTTGCTTTACATTATCATAATAGTTACTTTATTCAGACACGAAAACCAGACACAAAGACAGGCGCCAAAAGACAAGAATCACAAACATATACATTTATACACAATTATACACATTTATACACATTTATACACATTTATACAGGCAAGCTTCATAATACCAGAGTTCCCATAGAGCAGACTGGGCTGGTTCCGCGGGTTTGTCATTTGGAAGCATTATTAATAAATGCATAAAGTCAATTATATATTAACTACTATTTTGACCTTTACTTTCCAGAGCATTTGGAAAAGTAAAATTTTTGCTATTTTCTATATTTTGCATTTTCTATCATAATCATCATGTATTTTCTGACATTAGAAGAGAACACAGAGACAGACACCAAAAGACAAGTCTGACAAACATACATTTCTACAGATAAGCTTTGAAATACAGCTGTAGCAGAGTTTCTTTAGACGGGACTTGTGCAGGACGTTAATATTATTGATGCAAGAATAAAGAATTATTCACTGCTTTTGTAGTTTTTGTAGAACATCGCAGATAAAAACATTTGCAGATTTCCACTGCTTCAAAACACCTGTGTTTATGCATTTAATTCAAGTGAAGTGTTTGACACATTCAGGAGAATAGGTCTAAATGTTGAGTGAGCCACATCATCCTGAGACCATTAAAACCATTAAAACCATTAAAAGCCATTCCATTCCTTTCCATTCCCATCTGTGTCTCTGTGTAAAGTGAGGCTTATTGATTCATGGCTGACGAGAACAGGGTGCAGTTGTTGCGCAGAAAGACCAACATTTACGTCTGAATCCAGGGTCAAACGTTTTGAAACGAGTCCTGAGCGATGAGAAAGTCCTTCACCGTCACAAACAGACGAGTTTCAGGAGTTGGATTGGTGTAAAAAAGTGTTTTTTTGTGTGAGAGAATGTGTCGGATTATATAATGTTCGTTGGTGCTTTGTCACCTTCAAGGCGTGGACCAAGACCAACGCTCAAGATGTGTTTGTTCTTCTTCGTAGGAAAGATAGATGGAAAGATAGACACTTTGTTGATCCCCGTTTGAGAAATACAGGTCCAGCAGCAGAAATATATCAATCTTAGAGGAAGAATAACGGACCATTTCTGGTCCACATCTGGACCACATCTCTGCTCTGGTTCAGAGTGAAATTCTGAATGCTTTATTAACATTTTTCACACAAAAAATGTGCCTTCCTCCAGTGGATTTACTCTTGATCTGGTTGGTTTGGGCCATCCTCTCTGCTCTGGTCTGGATCAGTGTAAAACCATGAGCACTGTTCTGCAGTAACATTTAAGAAAAATAAAAGCGAGCGAGTTAGGACCCACTGCTGTTTCCAGAGCATTTGTTACATTCAGATGTTTTTCTCGTTACCTTCAGTCGTTTCTCTCGTTACCTTCAGTCGTTTCTCTCGTTGCAGGAGGGCGTTGGTGCTCGCACACAGCTGCAGTCATGAAGTCAGTGCTGGAGGGAGTGGCAGACACCACCTTCAGGACGATCACCTCCGGACTTCAGTATCTCGGCTCCAACGACGCTAACTATGAAGACCCACTCAACAATGTGGACTTCAAGAGCTCCTTCTCGCTGCAGAAGCCGCTCTCCGCGTTCCGCAGTAACTCTTTTCCCGACAAAGTCCCTGCGGACGAGGAGCTGATCCTGAAGAACTTCCCCTTCTTCCCGACCAATGCCACCGACCTGTTCAGTAACCGGACCCTGCGGGAGGACGGCAGCCCTCAGTGTGGGGAGAACTTTATGGACATGGAGTGTTTCATGATCCTGACGCCGAGTCAGCAGCTGGCGGTGGCCATGCTGTCACTGACGCTGGGCACCTTCACGGTGCTGGAGAACCTGGTGGTGCTGTGTGTGATCCTGCAGTCGCGCACGCTGCGCTGCCGACCGTCCTATCACTTCATCGGGAGCCTGGCCATCGCCGACCTCCTCGGCAGCATCATCTTTGTCTACAGCTTCTTGGACTTTCACATTTTCCACCGAAAGGACACCCCCACTGTGTTCCTGTTCAAACTGGGCGGAGTCACCGCGTCCTTCACGGCGTCGGTGGGAAGTCTGTTCCTCACAGCCATCGACCGTTACATCTCCATCCACCGCCCGCTGGCGTACAGACGCATCGTGACGCGCACCAAGGCGGTCATCGCCTTCTGCATGATGTGGACCATCTCCATCCTCATCGCCGTGCTGCCACTGTTCGGCTGGAACTGTAAGCGCCTCAACAGCGTGTGCTCCAACATCTTCCCGCTCATCGATAAGAACTACCTGATGTTCTGGATCGGCGTCACCAGCGTGTTGGTCCTCTTCATCATCTACGCCTACATCTTCATCCTGTGGAAGGCGCACCACCACGCCGTGCGCATGCTGAGCCGCGCCTCGCAGAAGAGCCTGGTGGTCTACTCTGCCGACGGGACTAAGGTGCAGACCACGCGACCAGAGCAGGCGCGCATGGACATCCGTCTGGCCAAGACCCTGGTGCTGATCCTGGTGGTGCTGGTGATCTGCTGGGGCCCGGTGCTCGCCATCATGGTCTACGACCTGTTCTGGAAGATGGACGATGACATCAAGACGGTGTTCGCCTTCTGCACCATGCTCTGTCTGCTCAACTCCACCGTGAACCCCATCATCTACGCGCTGCGGAGCAAGGACCTGCGTCACGCCTTCCTGAGCTCGTGCCACGCCTGCCGCAGCGGCGGGCAGCAGCTGGACAACAGCCTGGAGTCAGACTGTCAGAACAGACACATCTCTGCTCACCGCGCCGCCGAGAGCGCCGTCAAGACCACTGTGAAAATCGCCAAAGTCACAATCTCTGTGTCCACAGACACCTCTGCTGAGGCCGTGTAGGCCGCCTCTGCGCTCTGTAAATGTCACCGCAAACATCAACAAAGAAGAATAAGCACCGTTTGTTTGAGCCGCGGTGGAAGGCGGCTGTGGCGGCTGTGGATCTGTGCCCAAGTGCCAAATGAAGATGATCATAGAACACTTTCATGAAGGAATAATGTAGGTGTGTCAGACGCCCTGTTTCCACCAGCTCCACTCGACTCAACTCCATTTATTTTTGTAATGTTCTGTTGTGTAATCACAACATCAGTCGTCTCAGAGGACTTTGCAGAACTGTGGATTCAGCAACAACAGATCAGAGAATCAGACAGTTCAAACACAGGGAATGTAATGATAAAAACACATGTTGATAGAGGTATCACTCTACTCTACTCTACTCTACTCTACTCTACTCTACTCTACTCTACTCTATTTGGCTAGTACCAGGTCCTTCTTTAGTCCCTCTTGGTCCTGGTTCTATCCAGGCCAAGCTGGTACTAAAGTGTTCTAACTGACAGTGATTGGTCAGAGTGGATACCAAGAAAGTTTTCTGGGTTGGAGACTGGGATCTGGCACTAGATACTAAAGAATAATAGAAGCACAACTCAGTAGAGTAGAGTAGGGCTGGTGGAAACAGGGCTACAGACTCACTTACAGAAGGTAGATTCTATTTTTATACTGTGAATTCAGGTTTTGGAGACAAAATAAACCTTCATCTATGGGATAAGGGGCTACTGATGTTCTTCACTTGTGATGTCACATGTCTCCTTCATGATGATGTGGACTCGCTGCACACGGACAGTTTTAAAGACTCTCCTTTCGTTGTTTTGGTACCTCATTCACTAAAACATAGCGACAAATGCTACAATACTGAACACATGCAAAAACAAGAGAAGATTTGTCCACATGTCACAAAGCAGCGGTCGACTGCTGCTGATGCTACTCCTGCTGAGGCTACTCCTGCTGAAGCTACTCATGCTGAGGCTAACCATTCATGCTAACTGTGGAACCTTCCAAGTGTCTTTGTTCTGATGTAAATTTAACCAACTGTACAGTGTTACGATTGAAGTGTTTCTCTCATTTCGCAGCAGCTATAATTATCCAGGCAGGGTGCTGGTCACTGCTGTCACTGACGTGTGTAACTGGTCTCTCTTTTGTCTCTCTCTGCTCTCTCCATTTCTGTCCTATCACTTCTTCTTTCTACTCTCTCTGCTCTTGCGCTTGGTCTCTCTCTGACCTCTCTGGTCTCTCTCTTGTCTCTCCCTGGCCTCATTCGGGTCGCTCTCTGGTCTCTCTTGTCTCTCTCTGGTCTCTCTTGTCTCTCTCTGGTCTCTCTCTCTCTCCACCCTGAGCCTTCATCATTGCAGTAGTCTGTTTTAGTGCTTTACTGTCGAAGCAGACCTCGTTTCAGTCCAGGAAATAACGGCTAAAGGTCTGTAGTAAAAAAGAAGACGTTGACAATAAACATGTTTCTTTTTCCTCAGAGAAAAAGGCCCTTCTATTAGCTGGTTACTTGAACTAAAGCTTGTGTGTATGCATAATGTAGAAAAGCAACAACTGGTCCTTCAGAACAATGGGGGAGAGTGGACCACAGCACAATCGTAGACATTTATCTTGGTGTCGTCAGACAGCTGTATCAGTATGCTTCGCTGCCTCTGTATTAGTAAGTATTGGAGATCAATTGTCAAGTGGCTTCTGTACATTGGTGGCATTACAAGAACAAAAAACACAAGTGTTTTTAGTATTGCTGTTTTCAATTTTTTGAATAAAGTTGCAAATGGTTGTCCAAATTGTCTATAGTATTCTTTGACTTTGACTTTGACAGACTCTTGTTCAGCTCAATATCACAACAGCAGTCGTCTCGGAGGACTCATCAACAACAGATCAGAGAATCAGAACATAATAACAAACACATTGAAGACATTGGTCCATATGGAGTGGGATAACAGGACCAGAAATGTTAATACATGTCTTAGACAGACTGTAGACCCAGGACTGAGGCTGTAGATCCAGGACTGAGGCTGTAGACCCAGGACTGAGACTGTAGATCCAGGACTGAGGCTGTAGACCCAGGACTGAGGCTGTAGACCCAGGACTGATGCTGTGCGGTGCAGGGATAGATAGAGCAACAGCGCCCCCTGTGGTCATAACTATAATGTCTCCAGATGTCCACTTGTAAAGACATCACAACTGCCTCTGACAGCAGCATCTGCTCAGGTCCAGTGTGTGCTGCAGATGATGGTGAGTCCTGACGCCTGTGACCCAGATGCACGGAGCCTCTCACACACAGGTTTATCAACCAACACAAAATATTAGAATAACAAAACTATGATAAAAAGTCACAAGGACACCACCACATCCACAGAGACCATGTGAGCGAGACCCTGGTGGAGGAACCAGGACAATGGGCTGAAAATAATACAATCATACATTAACCTGTAAATTACTCCTGTAATGTCTTGTATTGTATTACTGCATGTGCTGCATGTGTGTTATAATGTGTGTGTGTGCGTGTGCACGTGTGTGTGTGCGTGTGCACGTGTGTGTGCGCGTGTGGGTTAACAAAATGTTATGTTTTCTCACGTTTGTAAAGGTTTGAGGGTAATTATTCATATCCCTGTGTAGATAAGACATGAATGCAGGTGCGTGGCGCCACCTGCAGGTGAAAGCCAGATCCTGTCAGACCTCTGAAGCCCTGGTCAGTGCTGTGATGGGAGACCTCTGGGAACACCAGGTGCCATGGTGGGGCAGCAGCGGGTGTACAGTGCCAAACTTTGGTTGTGTCCTTAGGCAAGACACTTCACCCACAGTAGAATGAGTCTGGGGTGTGTGTGTGTGTGTGTGTGTGCGAATGGTGGTGGTGGTGGTGGTCGTGGGAGGGGCCAATGGCACAGACTGGTTACGTCGGTTCTGTCAGTGTGCCCCAGGGCAGCTATGGCTACAGAAGTAGTCTATCACTATCGTGTTTGGAGTGGCAAGTTTATTTATATAGCACAATTCATACACAAGGCAATTGTGTATGAATGCTGTGAAGCTTCCAGAAAGCACTACACCAGGGCATGACTATACAAACAAATGGAAGTGAATAATTAACTGTAAATGACATGTCATTGACCCTCAAATTAAAGTTGACATCTTGTTGGTTTCATTTTAAATACTTAGAGACGTGTAGAGACTCCAACCTGTGATAACTGTCGATGTCCCAGTTTTTATGAACCGAGCCATATTCGACTTTAGCACAAATAAATGCTCTGTTTGGGGAGTTACAGCCTGCCGGAAGTAATTTAAATAAAAAACTACAACTCCCATCTTTGGGTGTTCCCTCGCACATGCGCAGAACACTATACCGTAATCGTACGGATGAAGCAGCGTTTAGCCGTTGTATGAATCTGCCGTTAGTCCTGGCATTAAATCTATAATCATCTGAGTTACGGCGGGTTCCATCGCTGGGTCCTGGAGCTCTGTGTCCGCTCCACTCTCCCTTCTGCTCGGAGCTCAAAGAATCCACCACCGAACCCACTCCGATTGGGTTAAAAAGGCTTTTTCTCGCTCCCCGGAAAGCTGCTACCGTTAGCTGCTAAGGCTAGTTAGCTTCAGCGGCTCAGACCGGGGCCCGCTGACTCCATCCTGCTCTAAAGCTTTGTCCGAACCCGCGGAGAGATGGCGTGTGGGGCCACCCTGAAGAGGAGCCTGGACTTCGACCCTCTGATGAACCAGGCCTCCCCCAAGAGACGGCGCTGTGCCCCCATAGTGTCTCCGGTGTCTTCGCCACAGAAATACCTGCGTCTGGAGCCCTCGCCGTTCGGAGAGGTGTCGGCCCGGCTCACCACAGGTACATGGCAGTGGGTTAATGACAATGATGTGTTTTGGACCAGAACCATTCCCTTCTGTGTGCGGTGATGGTTACACAATGATGCCCAGAAAACACACATGACGCAGGAGCGGATCCAGAAGCTAATACCTGCTAATATTAACGTAGGCCTAATGACATGCTTTACGTCACTTTTACGTCTCTGACTGCAAACTTGGAACGCACCTTTGTTATGTGCTGCAGTATCTGTTTGCACACATCAGCATTGCGTCTAATGTCCATTTAATTAGACATCATCCAATTAAGTGTGTGTGTCGCCCTTAATCACAGCAGCAGTCGTCTCTGTGGACTTTACAAAGTTTTCGATTCCTCAACAACAGATCAGAGACTCAGGCAGTTAAAACACAGGAAAGAAGAGGATATAAAGCTTATTCGTCCCTCAGTGGGGATGTTTCATTGTCATAGTTGCGCACAATACAGAAGATTAAAAGGAGATGCAGGTTATGTACACATCAAACATCTACTGTTTAGGATGATGGTAATGAAAGTCTGGAGCTATGATTGAACTTGGGTCAAGGTTAAGGTTAACCTCTGGAGATACTCTGTAGTTAGCAACAGTCAGAGATGTAACAATAACAAACACACAGGTCCATACATGTTAATAAATGTCCAGAATCATTACTGTCCTGAGACCCTGCTGCACCAGGAACCACTCAGAAGGACAGACTGCAGATCCAGGACTGAGAGGCTCCCGTGTGGGTAGGGGGGGGTGCTCTGTATTCAGGAAAAGTATGAAGAGAGGAGAGGAATGATAGTGCTCAAGTTACTACACTCTTCAGTGAGGGGTCTCCATGTTCAGGGGACGAAGGACCACTGTTCATGTCCTGGACAGTGAACAGTGGTCCAACCCCTGTTCAAATGGTTTGTTGTTTTTGAATCCTTTTGTCAGAACATTGACCAAAAGGCAGAGATGCAAGCTCCATATGAGTTTCCTCTGCAGAGTGATGCTCCCTTTGAGATGGACAGGCTCAGAGTAGAGCCGCTGCTCCTCCACGTGGGGAGGAGTCAGCTGAGGTGGCTTGGGCCCGCGACACAGGACACGGAGGGACTGTCTCTCAGCTGGGAACGCCTCAGGATTCTGTGTGTGTGTGTGTGTGTGTGTGTGTGTGTGTGTGTGTGTGTGTGTGTGTGTGTAGGCTCAGACTGCTGGATGGCTGGAATAGCACTTTCAGAGTCTAATTATCTTTGTGGGAAACGTGTGCCTGCCGTTGGCCTGTGTCCACTCTGTGTTTAAAGGAAATCCTGTGTTTGATTTCTTTTTCCAGAGCAAATCCTCCAGAACATCAAGCAGGAATACAAGCGGCTGCAGAAGAGACGGCACCTGGACACTGGCCTCCAGCAGCAGAGCGAGGCCTGCTGCTCCGTGGACATGCACAACATCCACAGTGGAGCCGCTCTGCCAGGTAATGGACCCAGGACCGAGGCTGTAGACCCAGGACCTGAGTCCGGGGTCTACAGCCTGTCTCTCTCTCTCTCAGGGATGTCGTCTGGAGCGTCGTCTCCCACCAGGAGGGAGCAGCCTCTGTTCTCGCTCAGACAGGTCGGCATGATCTGTGAAAGACTACTGAAGGAGCGCGAGGAGAAGATCCGCGAGGAGTACGACGAGATCCTCACGTCCAAACTCGCAGGTTCGGTCTCGTCTGCTGCGTCAGAACTGTCCCTTTTTTTTCAAACCTGAGCGAGTAACACCGTCTCCTGTTTCCTCAGAACAATACGATGCCTTTGTGAAGTTCACACACGATCAGCTGATGCGGCGGTTCGGAGAGCAGCCGGCCAGCTGTAAGTCCCTCACTGTCAGAGACCTGCCCGTCCTCTCCCATTGCTCCTGTCTCTTTGAATGTTTTATCTTCTGACCGGAAACTGGCGACGCTAGCTTTTTGGTATCACTTTAATTATGTTTTGCAGAAAGGATGTTGTCAGTTAAGTTTATTTCAAGCACACAATGAAACAAATGTACCACAAAAAACACTTGTCATAAGAACAATGATTTAACGCTATTGACGTTTTAATGTTATGAGTTTGCGCAAAAAACACTTAAATTTCCCTTTAAATCCCTCTCTCTCTCTCCCTGTGGGATTTTGTTGTCGTTATAACACATTCAGTACTCTATGGAGAGCGTCTGTGTATAAACCGCAGCAGCCAAAGTTGAGAAGATACTTGTCGCATACAGGCCTCACTGGAATATAAGCTGCAGGTTTCCATGTTGTAATTTAACACTGAGCCAACAGCAGATGAAAACAATCCACTCTTTTGACTCTAGTACAGTCCATCCTTGTCTCTCTCTGCTGTTCACATAAACACACAGAAGCAGGAATGTGTGTCATCAGCTCTGAACTCCAGGGGGCGCTCTAACGATTAAATACATACATCGGCCGCAGAGTTCAAAGAGCCTTAGTTTCCGGCGCGTTCCGTAGTTGTGTTAAACTAATAATGAACAGTTTAAATCAGGGCTTTACTTCTTCCCCGCTCCAGAGTCAGATCCTCAGAGATTTCACACTAACCATCATAGTACTAAAGGTCTTGCAGCTCGGCTTAGATCCACTGCTCCTCTCTCCTCACACTCTCCACTGTTCTCTCCTATATTCATGTCTCTCTCCCAGACATATATCTCACCCCCTCTCCTCTGTCTCTCCCCCACAGACATATATCTCACCCCCTCTCCTCTGTCTCTCCCCCACAGTCATATGTCTCACCCCCTCTCCTCTGTCTCTCCCCCACAGTCATATGTCTCACCCCCTCTCCCCTCTCTCTCCCCCACAGACATATATCTCACCCCCTCTCCTCTGTCTCACCCCCTCTCCCCTCTCTCTCCCCCACAGACATATATCTCACCCCCTCTCTCTCTCTCCCACAGACATATATCTCCCCCCCTCTCTCTCTCTCTCCCCCACAGACTTATATCTCACCCCCTCTCTCTCTTTCCCACAGACATATATCTCCCCCCCTCTCTCTCTCTCTCTCCCACAGACACATATCTCACCCCCTCTCTCTCTCTCTCTCTCCCCCACAGACTTATATCTCACCCCCTCTCTCTCTCTCCCCCACAGACATATATCTCACCCCCTCTCCTCTGTCTCTCCCCCACAGACATATATCTCACCCCCTCTCTCTCTCCCACAGACATATATCTCACCCCCTCTCTCTCTCTCCCACAGACATATATCTCCCCCCCTCTCTCTCTCTCTCTCTCCCACAGACACATATCTCACCCCCTCTCTCTCTCTCCCACAGACATATATCTCACCCCCTCTCTCTCTCTCCCCCACAGACATATATCTCACCCCCCTCTCTCTCTCCCCCACAGACATATATCTCACCCCCTCTCTCTCTCTCCCACAGACATATATCTCACCCCCTCTCTCTCTCTCTCCCACAGACATATATCTCACCCCCTCTCTCTCTCTCCCACAGACACATATCTCACCCCCTCTCCTCTCTCTCTCCCCCACAGACATATATCTCACCCCTCTCCTCTCTCTCTCCCCCACAGACATATATCTCACCCCCTCTCTCTCTCTCTCCCACAGACACATATCTCACCCCCTCTCCTCTCTCTCTCCCCACAGACTCATATCTCACCCCCTCTCTCTCTCTCCCACAGACACATATCTCACCCCCTCTCTCTCTCTCTCCCCACAGACATATATCTCACCCCCTCTCCTCTGTCTCTCCCCCACAGACATATATCTCACCCCCTCTCTCTCTCTCCCACAGACATATATCTCCCCTCTCTCTCTCTCTCTCTCCCACAGACACATATCTCACCCCCCTCTCTCTCTCTCTCCCCCACAGACACATATCTCACCCCCCCTCTCTCTCTCTCCCACAGACACATATCTCACCCCCTCTCTCTCTCTCTCTCTCTCCCCCACAGACTTATATCTCACCCCCTCTCTCTCTTTCCCACAGACATATATCTCCCCCCCTCTCTCTCTCTCTCTCTCCCCCACAGACACATATCTCCCCCTCTCTCTCTCTCTCTCTCTCCCCCACAGACATATATCTCACCCCCTCTCTCTCTCTCTCCCCCACAGACATATATCTCACCCCCTCTCTCTCTCTCTCCCCCACAGACATATATCTCACCCCCTCTCCTCTCTCTCCCCACAGACATATATCTCACCCCCTCTCTCTCTCTCCCCCACAGACAGACATATATCTCACCCCCTCTCCTCTCTCTCTCCCCCACAGACACATATCTCACCCCCCCCTCTCTCTCTCTCCCACAGACACATATCTCACCCCCTCTCCTCTCTCTCCCCCACAGACATATATCTCACCCCCTCTCTCTCTCTCCCACAGACATATATCTCACCCCCTCTCTCTCTCTCCCCCACAGACATATATCTCACCCCCTCTCTCTCTCTCTCTCTCCCCCACAGACTTATATCTCACCCCCTCTCTCTCTCTCCCCCACAGACATATATCTCACCCCCTCTCTTCTGTCTCTCCCCCACAGTCATATGTCTCACCCCCTCTCCCCTCTCTCCCACAGACATATATCTCACCCCCTCTCTCTCTCTCCCCCACAGACATATATCTCACCCCCTCTCTCTCTCCCCCAGACATATATCTCACCCCCCTCTCCTCTCTCTCTCCCCCACAGACACATATCTCACCCCCGCTCTCTCTCTCTCCCACAGACACATATCTCACCCCCTCTCCTCTCTCTCTCCCCCACAGACATATATCTCACCCCCTCTCTCTCTCTCCCACAGACATATATCTCACCCCCTCTCTCTCTCTCCCCCACAGACATATATCTCACCCCCTCTCTCTCTCTCCCACAGACATATATCTCACCCCCTCTCTCTCTCTCCCCCACAGACATATATCTCATCCCCTCTCTCTCTCTCCCCCACAGACATATATCTCACCCCCTCTCTCTCTCTCTCCCACAGACATATATCTCAACCCCTCTCTCTCTCTCTCCCACAGACATATATCTCACCCCTCTCTCTCTCTCCCACAGACATATATCTCACCCCCTCTCTCTCTCTCCCACAGACACATATCTCACCCTCTCTCTCTCCTCCTCTCTCTCCCCCACAGACATATATCTCACTCTCAGACATATATCTCCTCCCTCTCTCTCTCCCACCAAGAGGCTGATTTTGTCGTTTAAAATGTCACTCTCTCCCATATATTGACAATCTTTCCTTTTGATTTTATCCACACTATCTCTTTGATCTCACCCCCTGTCTGTGTTCTCTTTTTTCCATCTACAGATATAATTTTCTTTTTAAGTTATCTAACTCTCTTAAGTCCCACAGACACTTCAATTCCCCCTCTCCTCTCTCTCCCCCACAGACTCATATCTCACCCCCTCTCTCTCTCTCTCTCCCACAGACATATATCTCACCCCTCTCTCTCTCTCCCCCACAGACATATATCTCACCCCCTCTCTCTGTCTCTCCCCCACAGACATATATCTCACCCCCTCTCTCTCTCTCTCCCACAGACATATATCTCACCCCCTCTCTCTCTCTCCCCCACAGACATATATCTCACCCCCTCTCTCTCTCTCTCCCACAGACATATATCTCACCCCCTCTCCTCTCCCACAGACATATATCTCACCCCCCCTCTCTCTCTCTCCCACAGACATATATCTCACCCCCTCTCTCTCTCCCACAGACATATATCTCACCCCCTCTCTCTCTCTCTCCCAGTCATATATCTCACCCCCTCTCTCTCTCCCACAGAAGTGTATATCTCACCCCCTCTCTCTCTCTCTCTCTCTCTCTCCCACAGACTCATATCTCACCCCCTCTCCTCTCTCTCTCCCCCACAGACTCATATCTCACCCCCTCTCTCTCTCCCCACAGACATATATCTCACCCCCTCTCTCTCTCTCCCCCACAGACATATATCTCACCCCCTCTCTCTCTCCCACAGTCATATATCTCACCCCCTCTCCCCTCTCTCTCCCCAGACGTGTCCTGAGCTGTGGATCAGGGAGAGCCTTGCTGTGTCTGCCGGACTCAGAGGCAGTGGATCGTCCTGTGCCATTGGCCTGCGTCTGGACCTGTTCAGTGAAGCCTGCTCCTGAGGCTCCTCTGACGCCCCCTAGTGGCCTCTTTCACTGCCCTGTCTCTGTTTGGTTTGTCCCGATGCCTTCACTCGGGGCTCACTGCCACACGCACCTCGGCCTTTCAATGTTTTTCTTTTTTGTGAATGATTTTCTTTTTTGAGAAGGTTAATGTACATTTGAAAAGGGATTGGACTTATGCAAACGGACGATTGAACGCCTCGTCGGGTTCTCGAGAAACGTTTTAACTGGTTCTGGCAGTTCTTCATTTTGTTTGTAAACACTGAACTTTATTTTTTTTGCTTTAGTTTTGTTCCATGTAACGATATTTTAATTGCTGTAGTTAAATCGGGCGTTGGTTCAAGAACAAATAAAGCGTTTACATAAATGTGTGTCCAGTTTCTTTAGTCATTATAATAAGACTGTGCAAGAAATATTACAGACAAGGTTCTTCTGCAGAGAGGGCTTCCTTAGAGAGAGTGAGGAGCTCGAAGTAGAGCTGCTGCTTCTCCACGTGGAGAGGAGACAGTTGAGGCGGCTCAGGCATCTGTTTTCAGGAAGACCCAGGACTGTTTCTCTCAGTATCCTGGGAACGCGTCAAGATTCCCCCAGATGAGCTGGAGGAAAGTCTGCTTAAACTTTTCAGTTAAAAAAACGTTTTTGTTTGAATATATTTTTGTGAATAAAAGACTGGAACACTTTTTGAACTTAAAGCAAAGGAAAGTTTCATTCTTATGTGTGTATAAGAATAGAATGTTTTGATACAGTTAGCAAAGATTTGTAAAGCATTGATTAACAAATGCCTCCAAACAAAAGATCATTGTTTGAAAAAAATAAAGTAATTGTAACAGCTGTTGCTATGGTAACGCACATTTGATTTTTTGTTAAAAGTCAAACTTTTCACAATTCAAATATAAAATATTTCACAGAAAATATGACAAACTACAAATAACCTAAAAGGTCATAGAGTTATAAGTAAATAGCTCACGAGAATTACACTTCACTGTCTAAGAACTTTCAGATACAAATATTTTTTTTACCGATGGCTTTGTGAAGAACGAACGCACCCCTGAAGAGTGTGACGTATGGAGACACCTCGGCTGTGATTGGCTGATAATCAGGAAGTGTGCCGTGTTTACCCTCTCCGTGCCCAATACATCCATGGGAAGATCTGGTTCGGTGCTATGCGGGTGCTATGGCTAATGCGGCTAATACTCCGCATGCAGCTGTATTCACGCTAACATTATTATAGCAGTCGTTTAATAATGAACAGAGAATGGCCTGTTTGTTTAGAAGAGCCATTGCTGCCAAGGTAAATAATGACACAATAAACGCATGTCCTGGGCGTTATGTGTTTAACCCTGAGATTACTGTGATCACGTGTGTCCTCAGCTGAGCAGGACTCTGCAGCACCCGGAGGAGCTCCTGCTGCCAGCCCTGTCTGCTGCTCCAGTCTTCAGAAAACAGTGATTATTGTTGTTCTAAATCAAGCCCCTTTTCCATCTACTTTACTGGGTTACAGTTTAGTATCTGGTACTGTAGTAATCTATCCACAACAAACCAGTATCCAGGGAAATTCCATGGTAACCATGGCTTCCAGCTGCAGTGTGAGTTAGGACACTTTAGTACCAGCTCGGCCTGGTAGGAATCAGGACCAAGAGGGACTAAAGAAGGACCTGGTACTGGTTAAACAGATTATTGAACAAGTATTAATTCATCTGTCTAATATTTAAAACATTTCCTAAAGAGAATTACTAATGTAACTAAATCCTTGTCACTTCAGCGATGTATAAGAAATATTTATCTGGAGTTTGTCTTCCTCCACAGACAAACCCCCGACTTCAAACTCTCAGTGAGTCTGTTACGATCGAAGGGAATCTTACCCACAACTGCAGACATCCAGCTCCAGACCGAGGACCTGACCAGACAGGTACTGCTTTGTAACTGCCGGACTATAAGCCTCTACTTTCTTTGAATCTTGCGACTCATACAGCAGTGCGGCTAATCTATGTGTTTTTAGTACTATAGAGTTGGGCTTTTAGAGCTAGATCGCTCGATAGGCTGAAAAAAGTAGTACCTTTTATAGTTTTTAACAAGAAGTTTATGTACATGTAGCATTTTATTATTTTAAAATTTTAGTTAAAACCAGACAATGTGGTTGAAGACATTTCTGCTGGAAGTGGAACCATCAACTTCACGGTGCACCGCCCGCTGCTGGTTCAGGTGAGTCATGAAGAGTCAGGGATTGGGTGAATATTGTAGATTTTTAATTTACTTTTTGTTGTTTGTAGAAACTGCTGGAGCCGTTTGAAGCAGACGCTGGTGTGGAGTTTGGTTTGAACAGCGAACTTTTGAAGACGAGTGAACGGGGCACGATTTTAGTAGAATACAGGTTTGTGCTGCTACTGCTGCTTCTACTGCTACTGCTGCTACTGCTGCTTCTACTGCTGCTGCTACTGCTGCTACTGCTACTGCTGCTTCTACTGCTACTGCTGCTTCTACTGCTACTGCTGCTACTGCTGCTGCTACTGCTGCTGCTACTGCTGCTACTGCTACTGCTGCTGCTGCTACTGCTGCTGCTACTGCTGCTACTGCTGCTACTGCTACTGCTGCTGCTGCTGCTTCTACTGCTGCTTCTGCTGCTGCTGCTGCTACTGCTGCTTCTACTGCTGCTGCTGCTGCTGCTGCTGCTACTGCTGCTGCTTCTACTGCTGCTTCTACTGCTGCTGCTACTGCTGCTTCTACTGCTGCTGCTACTGCTGCTTCTACTGCTACTGCTGCTGCTGCTGCTACTGCTGCTGCTGCTGCTGCTTCTGCTGCTACTGCTGCTGCTTCTACTGCTGCTGCTACTGCTGCTGCTACTGCTGCTACTGCTGCTACTGCTACTGCTGCTGCTGCTGCTTCTACTGCTGCTTCTGCTGCTGCTGCTGCTACTGCTGCTTCTACTGCTGCTGCTACTGCTGCTGCTGCTGCTGCTTCTACTGCTACTGCTACTGCTGCTGCTTCTACTGCTGCTTCTACTGCTGCTGCTACTGCTGCTTCTACTACTACTTCTGCTGCTGCTACTGCTGCTGCTACTGCTGCTGCTACTGCTACTGCTGCTGCTGCTGCTGCTGCTACTGCTGCTGCTGCTGCTGCTGCTTCTACTGCTACTGCTACTGCTGCTGCTTCTACTGCTGCTTCTACTGCTACTGCTGCTACTGCTGCTTCTGCTGCTGCTACTGCTGCTACTGCTGCTGCTACTGCTACTGCTACTGCTGCTGCTACTACTGCTGCTACTGCTGCTGCTGCTGCTGCTACTGCTGCTGCTGCTGCTGCTGCTGCTGCTTCTACTGCTGCTTCCGCTGCTGCTGCTGCTGCTAAAACAGTTTGACAGGACCACGGCATGAACTCTGACCTTTGTGTTTGCAGCTCTCCAAACATCGCCAAGAAGTTCCACGCTGGACACCTCCGCTCTACCATCATTGGTGAGTTTAGAAGTTTTGTTTTTAAACGTGTGAAACCGGGGTCTCGAACCAAAACAGGGTTAGAGTTTAGAAAAAGAACCTACTCAAATGGTTAAATCGCAGGTTTATAATAATATTAATATGATAAAAAGGTATTGGTTTTATACAGCACTTTTCTGGATGCTTAAAGACTCTTCACATTATTATTCATTCACACAAACACAGAGGTGAAAAACTACTACTGAAGCCACAGCTGCCCTGGGGCACACTGACAGAAGCGAGGCAACCAGTCTGTGCCATCAGCCCCTCCCACCACCACCAACCATTCACACACACACCAGACTCATTCTAATGGGGGTGAAGTGTCTTGCCTAAGGACACAACCACAGTTTGGCACTTTACAGCCGCAGCCGCCCCACTGTGTCACCTGCCGTTTCCAGAGGTCTCCCATCACAGTATTAACCAGACCCTCCCCTGCTTAGCTTCAGAGGTCTGTGAAATATGGCTTTCACCTACAGCTACAGGCAATATTATGGCCACCAAGTATGAGGCCTGTGTCTGTTTATGTTTTAAATGCCTTGTGTGTTTTTAAGTCTTTCTTGTTTTGCTCAGCACTTTTGAGTTGCCTTTTGTATGAACTGTGTTATATAAATAAACTTGCCTCGCCCTATTCTTTCAAGTAGCTCTCCAACGATTTGCAATACGTCTGTTTTAACTGCAAATGTTTTCTGTATATTCACTCATACAGGGATGTACAATATACTGCTGTGTTTCTCTCATGTTAGCGTGTTAGCATGTTAGCATATGTTTTTATAGTTAAAGGGGAGGAGCTGTGTGACATTTTTATTGAGTAAACGTCTCTCTCAGATTGACAGAGGTTGTATCCTGGTGTGAAACTTCTAAAAACATATTTCTCACGGCATTTTCTCGTTCAGGAAACTTCATCGCTAACCTGAAACAGGTGCTCGGGCACGCCGTGATTCGCATGAACTACCTCGGAGACTGGGGAATGCAGTTTGGTGAGCGATAACGCCGTGACATGGACCGGGGCAAGTCGCCAAAGACAGTTTATGAAAGCACCTGGATACATATTTTAAAGCTGTGGTACCTAAATTTCTACTTTTTAAAAAGTAGGTACCCCAGATGTGACGAAAACGTTTTGAATGGTAAAATAACGGAACCATGGAGCAGTACTGTCATAGCCTGTATATAGATGGACAATGTTTGCTCTGTGAAGCCAAATAGGGAAGTGCTCATGGACAAAGTTTTGAGCCAACTCGCTCTGGTTCCTATTGACTTACATGTGAAGGTAAACTAGCTCAGTAACTGTTCGGATTTGAAATATCTGGGGTTTTTCGCTCTCTGTGATCCTTGTGTTTGTATTGTGATGTTGTAAATCCAGAAATGAGCCATATAAGGATTGACCAATCAGAGGCCTTCATTCTTTGAGGAGACTCCATCTTGCCTCAGCAACTGTCAGACATTGTCCATCTGTGTACTGTCGATGACTACTGTGGAATAATGTTATTTATTTAATGATGTACTATTAATCAGTACTAATGGCATTTTGAATTGCTTTTACAAATGGCCTGAGTCAAAGTGGTAAAAAACATTGTGTTGTGTAGTGTTATTGTTGTTACTGTTGTGTGAAGGCTTGTTGGGGGCTGGCTTCTCTCAGTTCGGCTCTGATTCTAAACTGAAGGACAATCCTCTGCAGCATCTGTTTGAGGTGAGAAACTCTCTGTTCTGTGGAAATCTATTGTTTTGATTCGAGACAAAAGTCCAGGCTCCAGAGTGTGTTGTTGTTGTGTTGTTGTGTGAGCTTCCATTGTCTCTGAAACACAATCGTTTGGAGGTTTCACCTGTTAGAGCTTTGTCCTGGAACCACAACAAACATACGTGAGACCTGGAGCTGATTCTAGCTCCATCCAGGATCATGACACACACAGGTTTCAGTTTCTGAATGTACGTCTTTGGAACTCTTGACAATGTGGCACACACACACAACAAAACACACACATGCTCAAAATACCTTCATATTTCAAAAATAGCCGCAAATCTGCAGACCCAGGACTGAGGCTGCAGACCCAGGACCGAGGCTGTAGACCCAGGACAGAGGCTGTAGACCCAGGACTGAGGCTGCAGACCCAGGACCGAGGCTGCAGACCCAGGACCGAGGCTGCAGACCCAGGACCGAGGCTGCAGACCCAGGACCGAGGCTGCAGACCCAGGACCGAGGCTGCAGACCCAGGACCGAGGCTGCAGACCCAGGACCGAGGCTGCAGACCCAGGTCTTAAAGGTGATGTTTCTGTGACGGTCTCAGGTTTACGTTCGAGCGAACAGAGACGTGGAACATGACGACTGTTTGAAGCTCGAGGCTCGAGATTTCTTCAGGAAACTGGAGCAACACGACGAGAAGGCGCTGGGTCTGTGGCAACGCTTCAGGGACATCACTGTGGAGGAGTACCAGCGAGTGTATGAGGTGTGTGACATCACAGGACCAGCGAGTGTATGAGGTGTGTGACATCACAGGACCAGCGAGTGTATGAGGTGTGTGACATCACAGGACCAGCGAGTGTATGAGGTGTGTGACATCACAGGACCAGCGAGTGTATGAGGTGTGTGACATCACAGGACCAGCGAGTGTATGAGGTGTGTGACATCACAGGACCAGCGAGTGTATGAGGTGTGTGACATCACAGGACCAGCGAGTGTATGAGGTGTGTGACATCACAGGACCAGCGAGTGTATGAGGTGTGTGACATCACAGGAGTACCAGCGAGTGTATGAGGTGTGTGACATCACAGGACCAGCGAGTGTATGAGGTGTGTGACATCACAGGAGTACCAGCGAGTGTATGAGGTGTGTGACATCACAGGAGTACCAGCGAGTGTATGAGGTGTGTGACATCACAGGAGTACCAGCGAGTGTATGAGGTATGACTTTATACTGGAGGCGGAGGAGAGTGTGTCGGGAGGACTCAGGGACTGGCCTCCTGCTGGTCCCAGAGTCAGGACTAAACATGAGGAATAGCGTTTCAGATTCATGCAGCTAAAATCCGGAACAGTCTTCCTGAAAATGTGAGACAGACTTCATCTGACAATGTTCAAATCCAGAATAAAACAGTTCTGCAACAACAGAAGGATTTTATCTTCACTCTTGTTAATGTTCTGTGATTATCTCTGATTATTCACACTTTGAGTTTCCTTGTGTATGAACTGTGCCATACAAATAACCCTGCCTTGGTGAACCCTGCTGATAACCTTGTGCTGTAGCGTTTAGGCGTGCACTTTGACGTTTACTCGGGAGAGTCCCTTCACCAGAGTCAGTCTCAGGACGTGGTGCAGCAGCTGCAGCAGAGAGGCCTCCTGAGGACCACAGAGTGAGTAACGGGAATTAAAGCTCAGAGACCTAACTTTAGTAGTTACGTAAATTACACACGTTTATCACAGGAGAGAGAGTCATTTAAAAGTAAAAAGTTCAGAACAAGAAGTCCAGCAGGTGGCTCTACTCTACTTCTGCTTTAGTATCTGGTATCGTATCCTAGCAACCAGCATCCAGGGGAAGGTTAGTGTGGGATAAAGTAGGATAGAGTAGAGTAGAAAAGGGTAGGGTAGAGTAAGATGAGTTTGCTAGAGTAGAGTAATGTAATAATGGGTTAGGGTTCAAAACATGAACAAGGTCATTAATGATTATAACAATAAAGGATTTTCATTTGAAGTCAGACTCTGTGTTTTCCACTCTCACCAACAACAACATGACTATGATCTAAGTCTCTGAGGACACTGCTGTTGGGATTTAGGACTGAACAAGAATAAATGGAATGAAATCCCCTCCGTGCCTGTGTGTGTCTCGTGTTTGCAGGACGGGTGCAGAGGTCGTGGATCTGTCTGAGTCTGGGGTCTGTGCCGTGCGCCGCAGCGATGGTACCACTCTGTACATCACACGGTAAACTTCACCTGGTAACATTCACCTGGTGCCGCTGTGTTTGAAGGGTTTGGAAAAGTCATGATCTGTTTCTGTCTCTGTCCCTCTCTCACTCTTTTCTCTCTCTCTTTCACTTTTCTTTATCCTTTTGCCTGGTTTCACCCTGGTCTCTTTCTTTGGTCTCTTTGGTCTCCCTCTCTCTGGTCTTTTTGGTTTCTCTGGTCTCTCTCTCTCTGTCTCTCTCTCTGGTCTCTCTCTCTGTGTGTGTTACAGAGATCTTGCTGCTGCTATTGACAGAAAGGCGAAGTACTCGTTCACAGAGATGATCTATGTGGTAAGAATTCAGAATATCACTGTCGACGCTGATCACAAATAACACATATTTGTTTTTGTCTCGAATCCAGACGGATAAAAGTCAAACCACTCACTTCCAGCAGTTGTTCCAGATCCTGTCGGCTTTGGGACACTCCTGGGCTCAAAGGTCAGACATGGCTGAGGCTCTAGGCCCAGGGACCGAGGCTCTAGGCCCAGGACCCGAGGCTCTAGGCCCAGGACCCGAGGCTCTAGGCCCAGGACCCGAGGCTCTAGGCCCAGGACCCGAGGCTCTAGGCCCAGGACCCGAGGCTCTAGGCCCAGGACCCGAGGCTCTAGGCCCAGGACCCGAGGCTCTAGGCCCAGGACCCGAGGCTCTAGGCCCAGGACCCGAGGCTCTAGGCCCAGGACCCGAGGCTCTAGGCCCAGGACCCGAGGCTCTAGGCCCAGGACCCGAGGCTCTAGGCCCAGGACCCGAGGCTCTAGGCCCAGGACCCGAGGCTCTAGGCCCAGGAATGAGGCTCTAGGCCCAGGAATGAGGCTCTAGGCCCAGGACCGAGGCTCTAGGCCCAGGAATGAGGTCTCCATAAGCAGCTTTGCTGACAATCTGTGTGTTTTGGCTTTTAAACCTTGAGAATATTTCCTCTAAATATCTGAGATGTTGTATGTGTGTGTTGCTGCAGCTGTCGCCACGTTCCCTTCGGTCTGGTCAGAGGTATGAAGACCCGCTCGGGGGACGTGGTCTTCCTGGAGGACGTCCTGAACGAGGCTCGCTCCAGGATGCTCCACAACATGAGCCAGTCCAAAAGTAAAATCTCCATAAACAGAGGCTAAATATAGCAGCAGTAGTAGCAGGAGTAGTAGTAGTAGTAGTAGTAGTGTCATCAGTAGTAGCAGTAGTAATGGTAGTAGCAGGAGTAGTAGTAGTAGTTGTAGCATCAATAATGTGTTTTCTGGTCTTAGCCACTAAGGACCTGGAGGACCCAGAGGACACGGCTGAGAAGGTCGGCCTCAGTGCCCTGATCGTCCAGGTACAGTCCCCACAGTGGTCACAGTGGTCTCAGCCTTTTTAAACTCCAGGGAAATCTCATTTGGTCAGAACATTCCAAACGGTTCTATCCCCAAATGAGCACAGTGTAGTGGTGCGATGGTTAGCACTTCGATTACTCACCTATAATAAACTTGTATGTTGTTTTTGCAGGATTTCCGAGGGCCTCTGGTGTCGGACTATAGTTTCCACTGGGACAGAGTGCTACAGGCTCAGGGAGACACCGGGGTCTTTCTCCAGTACAGCCACGCCCGCCTCTGCAGGTGAGAGACCAGAGAGAGACCAGAGCTTTTTTTGACTAAACAGATCTTTTGAAAATGTCATATTGAATGTATTCTTTGTTCTTTCAGTTTACTACAGAAGACTACAGAGCTGGAGGCGTGTCGTTTAGACCCGTCCGTCCTGAGCGAGGCGTCTGCCCTCTCAGTCCTGCAGCACCTCCTTCGGTAAACACCTGAGTCACTTTAATCAATGTATTTAATCTTCAGCCTTTGTTCAAATGTTGCTTTAGCTTCGACGAGGTGCTGCTCCAGTCGTCTCAGGATCTGCAGCCGAAGCACGTGGTCAACTTCCTGTTAAAGCTGAGGTCAGAAAACAGACTTCAGACACGGAGGTCTCTACCATTGACCACCCACACTGCTTTTTTAATTCAATTTAGTTTTCTTATGCCCTTAATCACAACAGTAGTTCTATTTCATTCCTCCTGACCACTAGAGGGCGGTGCATAGCACGGAATGTTCCCTTTGAGCATGCGCAGTTTGAGTAGTAATTGTCACTCCCGTATTCGTCCCGGAAACCGGATTCGTCCGGAAGTTCAGTTTGATCCAAAGAGCATACGCAGCAGTAGATTACGTCACGGAATCTGGACGGAAGTGGAAGTAAATATAAAAAACTACCTATTCATGCCTAAACTTAACCAGCCATTCCCATAAAATAACCCCAACCCTTAACCAGCCATTCCCATAAAATAACCCCAACCCTTAACCCTAAACTTAACCATCTTAATCAGACGCCTAAACTTAACCAGTCACCACTTAAGGACATATTAAACTTTTTGACATGCGCAAACTGAACTTCCGGACGAATCCGGTTTCCGGGACGAATACGGGAGTGACAGTAATATCAAATGAGTCACAACTGTGACCCCCTGGATGACCCCTCCGGAGGTAAAAGTCCAGCGTCATCCAGCACTCTGTTCCTGCAGAATCTTCTTGCAGAAACGCAAGGACCCTGAGTGACAGAGCGCGTCTGGCGGTCATCCGGGATTCATAGAACCGAGGTTACAGACGTAACCTTCCTTTTTTACCTCTGGTCTTTCTTTATTCGCGCTCTTTCTCTGGTCTCTCTCTCCTCTCTCCCTCTTTCTCGTCTTTCTCTGGTCTCTCTCTGCTCTCTGTCGTTTCTCTGGTCTCTCTCTCCTCTCTCCCTCTTTCTCGTCTTTCTCTGGTCTCTTTCTCATCGCTCTCTTTGCTCTGGTCACTCACTTCAATGGGGAGTTCAGGATGTTAGAAAAGTGTACATTAAAGTGTGAGGTGTTCACAACCTTAAAACATACAGCTTCTTGTTATTACTGATTTTTAGAACACATCACCCCTGTCCTAAAACCAGGGACCTCTGTACAGACCAAACTGCAGTGTTTGTGTTTCTTCCACAGCCACTTGGCGGCGTATGCACTCAGAGAGCTGCCGGTGAAGGGGAGTCCAACACACGTGGCACAGGTGACAGGACATGAGCAGAAATGTTATATTTATTTATATATACTTGACTTACTTGACTAAAACTGTCGTTCTTTAGGCTCGAAGGTGTCTGTTCAGAGCGGTGTGTTCTGTTCTGGCCACTGGGATGAGGCTCCTGGGCATCACACCAGTCCAGAAAATGTGAAAAATAATATAAATTAAATTTATTTTTTGCCTTCTTATGTTCAGGGCATGTTATTAATGACTTAATATGGAAAGAAGAAGAACCATAATTGCCAGACTTTAAGCCTATACGTTTTCTGGTTATTGAACCCTGCAGTCTATATGTATTTGTAGTATATTAAGAGCACCCCCTGGTGTCAAGAGCTGATTGTGTGGCATTCCTGCTCCAGAGTGTTGGAGATGAGGAAGAACCATGGATTACACAGGTTTTTATGTGAATCGGACTATGGTTAAAGTTTGAACCTTCAGGAATGTTCATCTTGTCTTCTTAGTAGGATGTGTCTTTCACCTGCAGGGGGCGCTACATCTAAACAAGTCAAAAGTCCAACAGTAGATTTTAATAAGCATTTTTAACAATCATTGATTCCTTAAAACAAATAAAAAATACATGTGATACGTTTAAGGTTCCGTGATCAGAGGCCTACAGCAGAGGAGGAGACCCAGAGGAGATCGGACTCCTCTGGGCCAGGTCCAGGGGAGAGACCCAGGAGACCCAGAGGAGACCAGTAACCAGGCTCCAATGAATTCCACCTATAGCCCTGTTTCCACCAGCCCTACTTGGCCCTACTCTAATCTCCTTCAAGTGCAAGTGTTTCCAGTGGTCCTCTTGGTCCTGGTTCTGTTCCGAGCTGGTACTAAAGTGTTCTCTGGCCAATCACTGACAGTGATTGGCTAGAGAGCTGTTGACCTGCCATGAATGTATGTAATTTACACAATATAAGTATAGATGTATTGATTTCCTTCATTTACAGCTACTGCACTTATCTGTTTATTTTGTATATTTTTGTACTACCGTCCTGTGAGTGCGCTGCAGTATTGAAATTCCTCCACTGTGGGACTAATAAAGGTTCTGTTTTCTTACAAATAAATCTCCCCAGATACTGGTTTGTTGTGGGGGATGTTGCTAGGACAGTGAACCTGACACTGAAGTGGACCAGACCAGGTGGAGCAGAGTGCAGCTGGTGGGAACAAGGCGTGAAAGTACAATCTCGATGTCAAAACAACAAAAAACACTGATTAATGCCGTGGCTCCAGCTGCTTTTAAAATGGCTACTTTCGTTCAAAAGTAACTGAACAATAAAATCACAGATTGATAATACCAGATGACAGACTCTGATCCAGTCTCATGAACCAGAAGCGCGTCTCTGGTCCTGTCTGTCGTCATCACACTGAGATGAGTTTCTCTTTGAGCTCCTTGTCGGCATCTTTTTGCGGGAGTTTGCTGGTGTCCAGTTTGGGAAGGCCGTACAGGTAGATGGAGACACACACCAGCAACGCACCAGAAGCAAACGCCAGAGCTGTCAAAGAGAGAAGCTTTGTTACAACTGTACCACAGGGAAATACAGGTGCTGTCGCATTCCTCGTGTAAAGCCACTCATGAAGAGACCGAAGCGTCTGGCCTGGGCCCAAGACAAACAGGACTGGACTCCTGCTGAGTGGTCCAAAGTTATGTTTTCAGATGAAAGTAAATGTATCTCCTTTGGAAATCAAGGTCCCCGAGTCTGGAGGTAGACAGAGGCACAGAATCCACGTTGCCTGAAGTGTAAAAAGTCCAGTCAGTAATGGTCTGGGGTGCCATGTCCTCTGCTGGTGTTGGTCCACTGCGTTTCCTGAGGTCCAGGGTCAATGCAGCAGTCTACCAGGCAGCTTTAGAGCACTTTATGCTTCCTGCCACTGACAAACTTTATGGGAGGTGAAGATTACATTTTCCAACATGACTTGACCCCTGCACACAGTACCAAATCTACCAGTACCTGGTTTATGGACCATCGTAGCCCTGTTCTTGATTGGCCTGCTAACTCACCTGACCATGAGCCCATAGAAAACCTATGGAGTATTGTGAAGCGGAAGATGCGAGCTGCCAGACCCAACAACGCTGAAGAGCTGAAGGCCACTATTAAAGACACCTGGGCTCTCTATACACCTCAGTGCAACAGACTGGTCCACTCCATGCCACGCCGTATTGCTGCAGCAATTCAGGCAAAAGCAGCTGCTACTATGTATTGATTGCCATACATGCTGAAACTTTCCATGTTTATACTTTTCACTTGGCTCACATTTGTAAAAAAAATTTTTTGTATTAGTCGTAACTAATATTCTAATTTTCTGAGATACTGAAAATCCCAAATTCAGTAATTGTCAGTCCTAAATCATCCAAATTAAAATAAATACACATTTGAAATATGTCACTCCGTGTGTATTTAATTTTAATTTTCACATTCTGAATATGAATACTGAAATAAATCAACTTTTTCATGATATAGATATGAAAAAGTAGATACATTTGTTATGTTTGGGCTGCCCCGGTCTCTCCAAGACGTCTGCCCCCCGGCCACTCCAAGATGTCTGCCCCCGATCTCTCCAAGATCGAGGTCTTGTGTGCTTTGTGTGATTTTATTGTCTTGTGTATGAACTTGTGCGATACAAATAAACTTACTGATCTGCAGTCCAAAGAGGAAGACGGAGGCCACAGTGGACAGGACGATGGCAGCCGCAGCAGAGAAACCCTTCATGATGTTGTCTGTGTATTTCACCACCACAGAAGTGTAGAGACCTCCCACACTGGCCAGGACTGAGGAGAGAGAAGAGGTGTTGAGACCAGTGAGAGACCAGCGAGAGACCAGCGAGAGAGACCAGGGGGAGACCAGAGAAAGAGTCTAGAGAGACTAGAGAGAAACAAGAGAAAGACCAGCAAGAGACCAGGGAGAGACCAGAGAAAGAGTATAGAGAGAGACTAGAGAGAGACTAGAGAGAGACCAGAGGACGACCAGAGAGAGAGAGAGAGCGGGGTGTGTAGAGTGTGCAGGACAGGAGACTCACACACGACAAAGCAGACCCAGGGCGTGTATCCGAAGAAGAAACCCTTCTCCTGGACGTTGTGTCCGTCGGTGATGTAGACCCCGACCAGAGTGACCACGATCCCAGAGATGTACATCTGTATGTTCCTCACCCACAGGGACGTGTCCGAGCTCTTCAGCACCTTCTCAAAGTACACTCCTGAGACAGAGAGAGAGAGGGAGAGAGCATAAGAGACCAGGGAGAGACCAGCGAGAGAGACCAGGAAGAGACCAGCGAGAGAGACCAGCAAGAGACCAGGAAGAGACCAGAGAGAGAACAGAGAGAGACCAGCGAGAGAGACCAGCAAGAGACCAGGGGAGACCAGAGAAAGAGTCTAGAGAGAGACTAGAGAGAAACGAGAGAGAGACCAGCAAGAGACCAGAGAGAGAGCGTAAGAGACCAGAGAGAGACCAGAGAGAGACCAGAGAGAGCATAAGGGACCAGGCAGAGAGACCAGAGAGAAAGACCAGAGAGAGACCAGAGAGAGGCATAAAACCTCACAAATCAAATAATTGAGTGGAACATTCCTGCAAACCCGGAGCACAGGACGGCGACCGCGACCGCCATGAACCCGAGGAGCGGGTTCTGCTCAATCTGAAAAGGAAATGCAGAAATTTAGAGGAGACATATCCAGAGGACATAAAAGTCTACACACCCCGTTTGTGAAAAAATAACAATAGACAAATAATTTCACAACTTTTCCACCTTTAATGTGACCTAAAACCTGCAACAAACTAAAACTTTACAGAGAAAAATATGAAACTAAAAAACTAAAAAAACTAAAAAACCTGGTTTCATAAAACACACACAGAAACTGATACTTTGTTTCAGAAGCTTTTTATTTGATTACAGCTCTCTGCTCTGCCTCACCTGGTTTCCACTGGACCATGTGACTCACCTGGACCCTACTGCCCTCCACTGGACCATGTGAGACTCACCTGGACCCTACTGCCCTCCACTGGACCATGTGACTCACCTGGACCTTACTGCCCTCCACTGGTTTCTACTGCACCATGTGACTCACCAGGACCTTACTGCCCTCCACTGGACCATGTGACCCACCAGGACCTTACTGGCCTCCACCTGTTTCTACTGCACCATGTGACTCACCAGGACCTTACTGGCCTCCGCTGGTTTCCACTGGACCATGTGACTCACCTGGACCTTACTGGCCTCCACTGGACCATGTGACCCACCAGGACCTTACTGGCCTCCACTGGACCATGTGACCCACCAGGACCTTACTGGCCTCTGCTGGACCATGTGACACACCTGGACCTTACTGGCCTCCACTGGACCATGTGACCCACCTGGACCTTACTGGCCTCCGCTGGTTTCCACTGGACCATGGTGACTCCCACACAGAGCATGAACACAGAGCCCCACTGCAGGCGACTCAGAGACCTGTTCAGCATCAGCACCGTGCAAAGAGCAGTGCACGGGATCTTCAGCTGGTACGTCACCTGCAGAGACACACCAGGTGAGACCAGGAGGGGACAGACCAGGAGGGGACAGACCAGGAGGGGACAGACCAGGAGGGGACCAGACCAGGAGGGGACCAGACCAGGAGGGGACCAGACCAGGAGGGGACCAGACCAGGAGGGGACCAGACCAGGAGGGGACCAGACCAGGAGGGGACCAGACCAGGAGGGGACCAGACCAGGAGGGGACCAGACCAGGAGGGGACCAGACCAGGAGGGGACCAGACCAGGAGGGGACCAGACCAGGAGGGGACCAGACCAGGAGGGGACCAGACCAGGAGGGGACCAGACCAGGAGGGGACCAGACCAGGAGGGGACCAGACCAGGAGGGGACCAGACCAGGAGGGGACCAGACCAGGAGGGGACAGACCAGGAGGGGACAGACCAGGAGGGGACCAGACCAGGAGGGGACCAGACCAGGAGGGGACCAGACCAGGAGGGGACAGACCAGGAGGGGACAGACCAGGAGGGGACCAGACCAGGAGGGGACCAGACCAGGAGGGGACCAGACCAGGAGGGGACCAGACCAGGAGGGGACCAGACCAGGAGGGGACCAGACCAGGAGGGGACCAGACCAGGAGGGGACCAGACCAGGAGGGGACCAGACCAGGAGGGGACCAGACCAGGAGGGGACCAGACCAGGAGGGGACCAGACCAGGAGGGGACCAGACCAGGAGGGGACCAGACCAGGAGGGGACAGACCAGGAGGGGACAGACCAGGAGGGGACAGACCAGGAGGGGACAGACCAGGAGGGGACAGACCAGGAGGGACCAGACCAGGAGGGGACCAGACCAGGAGGGGACAGACCAGGAGGGGACAGACCAGGAGGGGACAGACCAGGAGGGGACAGACCAGGAGGGGACCAGACCAGGAGGGGACAGACCAGGAGGGGACAGACCAGGAGGGGACCAGACCAGGAGGGGACCAGACCAGGAGACTGGAAATAGAAACCAGAGAGAAACCATAGACATACTGTAGAGAGACCACCAGAGAGATAAAGAGAGAGACCAGAGATACACCAGGGAGAGACCAGAGAGGAAACAGAATCCCACCTGGTACACTGCTGCGTCCAGGTTACTCAGAGCTAAGAAGGCCATGTTGTTCTGGATGGCGTAGACCACAGAGGGGACACTGAGCTTCAGCAGCTCTTTGGGACTGGATAAGATGTGCTCCACGAGGGCATTCTTTAACCTGCCCAGACTCCCCGTCTCCCTGAAAGAACAGAGACAACCATGAGAGATAAGATTAGATAAGAGCTCCTTTATTCGTCCCACAGTGAGGACATTTCAATGTTGCAGCGCACAGACAGGACAGTAGTAAGAGCACACAAATATACAGTATATAAAGAAGAGAGGAGCAGAGGGAGAGACCAGAGAGAGAGAGCAAAGAGAGAGAAAGAGCTGAGAGAGAGACCAGAGAGAGACCAGGAAGAGAGAGCTGAGAGAGAAAAGAAAGAAACCAGAAAGACCAGATAGAGATGTAAGAGAGAGAGAGCGAGAGATCAAAGAGCGACCAAGAGAAAACTGATTGAGAGACCAGAGAAAGACCAGAGAAAGACCAAAGACCAGAGAGAGACAAAAGACAAACAAGAGACCAGAGTCCAAAGACCATAGAGGGAGAGGATAGACTAGAAAGAAACATGGGAACCAGAGAGAGTAGAGAGAGCCACAAAACTTTTCTTCTGAGGTTAAATGAAGGTAACCGTCACGTTATACTATTGTTGTTTTTGGAGTGAACACACGAAGCTAAGGACCAGAGAGGGTCCTAAAAGCAGGTGTGGGTCTTACTTGGAGAGCATGGCAAGGCTGAGGAGGAGCTTGATGACCTCGGTGAGGCACACGGCGGTGGTGGAGAAGTACATGTCTCCTGATGAGATGGTGCGGGTGTATCTCAGAGCCACCGTGTACGTGGCGGCCACCATCGTCATCACCGTCAGACAGTACACTTTGAAACCCACACTCACACTCTCCACTGAAAACAAGGAAATCACCATTAAAGAGACCAGAGGGAGGCAAGAGGGAGAGACCAGAGAGAGAGACCAGAGAGAGGCAAGAGGGAGAGACCAGAGAGAGAGAGACCAGAGAGAGAGAGAGACCAGAGAGAGAGAGAGACCAGAGAAAAGGTAAGAGAGAGGGATCAGAGAGAGAGAGAGAGAGACCAGAGAGAGGCAAGAGGGAGAGACCAGAGAGAGAGACCAGAGAGAGAGAGAGACCAGAGAGAGAGAGAGACCAGAGAGAGAGAGACCAGAGAGAGAGAGAGAGAGACCAGAGAAAAGGTAAGAGAGAGGGATCAGAGAGAGAGACCAGAGAGAGGCAAGAGGGAGAGACCAGAGAGAGAGACCAGAGAGAGAGAGAGAGAGACCAGAGAGAGAGAGAGACCAGAGAAAAGGTAAGAGAGAGGGATCAGAGAGAGAGAGAGAGAGACCAGAGAGAGGCAAGAGGGAGAGACCAGAGAGAGACCAGAGAGAGAGAGAGAGACCAGAGAAAAGGTAAGAGAGAGACCAGAGAGAGACCAGAGAGAGGCAAGAGGGAGAGACCAGAGAGAGAGAGAGACCAGAGAGAAAGAGAGAGACAAGAGAGAGGCAAGAGAGAGAGACCAGAGAGAGACCAGAGAGAGGCAAGAGGGAGAGACCAGAGAGAGAGACCAGAGAGAAAGAGAGAGACCAGAGAGAAAGAGAGAGACAAGAGAGAGGCAAGAGAGAGAGACCAGAGAGAGACCAGAGAGAGACCAGAGAGAGGCAAGAGAGAGACCAGAGAGAGACCAGAGAGAGACCAGAGAGAGACCAGAGAGAGAGACCGGAGAGAGGCCAGAGAGAGATCAGAGAGAGATCAGAGAGAGATCAGAGAGAGATCAGAGAGTGATCAGAGAGAGATCAGAGAGAGATCAGAGAGAGATCAGAGAGAGATCAGAGAGAGATCAGAGAGAGATCAGAGAGAGGCAAGAGGGAGAGACCAGAGAGAGAGAGAGAGACAAGAGAGAGGCAAGAGAGAGAGACCAGAGAGAGACCAGAGAGAGAGGCAAGAGAGAGAGACCAGTGAGTCCAGCTGTACACAATTTTAATTTTATGACTTGTTTGCACCACATACCAAAGCAAATTCCTAGTTTGAGACTTCCTGTTACTTACAAAGACAAACATTAGAATCTGACCCAGGTCTCAGTGCTTTATTTAACTATAACACTGGAACAGAAACAGCTACAGGAGAAAGTCAGACTGACACCTACGCAGGGTACTGACTGAGCACAGGTAGACCAATGTAAATGAGCCTCTGTCAAATGGCTAAAGCTAATCAAACCACCGGGGCTAGCAACACAGCCCCTCGCCCTCCTTCACTCACCCGCCATAGCTGCAGATGTTGGGCGTCAGTGCGACCGTACGGGGGGTCAGGATGTGTGGGAAGAAGACATGACCAGGAAATCCCGTGTTTAAGATGCTGCGGGACAGAATGTCACGGTCCGCTAGTGGGTTGCTCCTCATCCGCAAGACTACATTACCCACAATGCCCCGCGTCGAGGTGTGTTTGATGTGCGCGTGGAGAGGGGCCGTTAAACAAGTTTGTTTAGTTAATCTATCAATCTTTATAAGGCATTAGATACACATTAAAATAACAATAATAATGATATAGTAAGTAAGTAAGTAATTATTTATATACCGCCTTTTCACTGCAGAGCTGAGTCTCAAAGCGGTTTACAATTGTTATTTTTTTTGGGCACTTGTCTCTCACTCCACACAGAGATGGGAGCGGGGTCGCCAGTACAGGAGGCGCATGCCAGAACTATTTTACATATTTTTAGCGGTAGGGGAAACCTACGCAGACACGGGGAGAACATGCAAACTCCACTCAGAAAGGCCCTGGTCCGACCGGGATTCGAACCCAGGAACCTCTTGCTGAGAGGCGAGAGTGCTATCCACTCAGCCACCGTGCCGCCGATGATTCACTCCATACACGGTGGTGATAAACTACTACTGTAGCCACAGCTGCCCTGTGGCACACTGACAGAAGCGAGGCAACCAGTCTGTGCCATCGGCCCCTCCCACCACCACAAACCATTCACACACACACCAGACTCATTCTTGGCAATGTGGGTGAAGTGTCTTGCCCAAGGACTCAACGACAGCAGACATCAGTGGGAGTTGGTGTAGAAAGTCTTGTGGTGGGCTCTAACCCACGACCTTCAGGCTCAGAGGTCACTAACAGCCACTGTCGCCCCAATAACAATAACACATAATTAATTACAGTAGGTTAAAAAGAGTAAAGATAAAATCCTTCAGTTGTTTCAGAAACAGAACTTAACCTGGATTTGAATATTGTGAGAGAAGACAGGCTGCCTCACATTTTTAGGAAGACTGCCTCCACATGTTTAGTCCTGACTCTGGGACCAGCAGGAGGCCAGTCCCTGTGCTCCTCAGAATCCCAGCAGGAGACCAGTCCCTGTGCTCCTCAGAGTCCCAGCAGGAGGCTGGTCCCTGTGCTCCTCAGAGTCCCATGAGATTTTAAACAAACAGAGCTGCTTTAAAGTATAATCTCTGAGCCACAGGTGCAGAGACCTGAGACCAGGACTGATGGTACTTCCTGGTTCTAGTCTGGACTCTGCAGTGTTATGAATTTATTGCAGTGGTTTCACAGCTTGTTTGGAGAGACCTGTGAGCAGTTTCACAGGTTTTATTATTCTCCCTGAATGTATAAACACATCCTCTGTGAAGGTGAGGCTCTTTAGTTCTGGCCTCTGACTCATTCACTCTTTTTAATGCACTGTGATGTTTTTTTTTATGTTTAATTTTTTTGTTCAACATTTTGAGTTCCTTTGTGTAAGAACTGTGCTATATAAATAAACGTGTTAAGAATGCTTCGTTAGTGCAGCCAGCAGAGGGCGCTGCAACACCTCCTCGTAAATATTCATGAGAGGATTTCCAGTCGTTAGGAAGAGAAGGAAACAGAATGAATGAGATCGTTACAGACTCACGCCGGAACTGCATACATTATCAAGATCACACTGAGGCTGTAGACCCAGGACTGAGGCTGTAGACCCAGGACTGAGGCTGTAGACCCAGGACTGAGGCTGTGGACCCAGGACTGAGGCTGTAGACCCAGGACTGAGGCTGTGGACGCAGGACTGAGGCTGTGGACCCAGGACTGAGGCTGTGGACCCAGGACTGAGGTTGTGGACCCAGGACTGAGGCTGTGGACCCAGGACTGAGGCTGTGGACCCAGGACTGAGGCTGTGGACCCGGGACTGAGGCTGTGGACCCAGGACTGAGGCTGTGGACCCAGGACTGAGACTGTAGACCCGGGACTGAGGCTGTAGATCCAGGACTGAGACTGTAGACCCAGGACTGAGGCTGTAGATCCAGGACTGAGGCTGTAGATTCTAGGACTGTTTCTAATAGCACTTTACATTTCTCTCTGAATCCAGAGAGAAATGGAGACATACAAAATCTTGATGTTATTTTTACCCAGAAGACAGTGGGGCATCTTGACACTCTGAGCTGAAAGAAATGTCAAGTTGTGAAAAACGGGGACATACAGAGATGTGCGACAGCAGAGACTGATCTCAGACCAGCACAAAAAGTCTTTCTTCTTCTTGCATTATTTTCAACAATAAGGTGATATTTGAGTGAGTTTACATAAGTCAATAGGAGCCAAACTACATCCATGAGCACTTCCCCATCAGGCTACATTCAGCTAGCCCATTAGCTTTGTCCATCTGAATACAGGCTATGGTTAAATCTTGTGTTTTTAGTGAGTGTGTGTGAGGAGCCAGACATGGAACAATACATGTGTTGTCATGGAGACGCTACCTGCAATTCATAAGCTGAGGGTTTGGTCGATCTATATCTGTACCAACAGAAAAGACCCACAGATTTGACCCGGCAACCTGGTCCTGGATCTACAGCCTCAGTCCTGGGTCTACAGCCTAAGTCCTGGATCTACAGCCTCGGTCCAGGATCTACAGCCTCGGTCCAGGATCTACAGCCTCGGTCCAGGATCTAGAGTCTCAGTCCTGGATCTACAGTCTCAGTCCTGGATCTACAGCCTCGGTCCAGGATCTACAGGCCTCAGTCCTGGATCTACAGCCTCAGTCCTGGATCTACAGCCTCAGTCCTGGATCTACAGCCTCAGTCCTGGATCTACAGCCTCAGTCCTGGATCTACAGCCTCAGTCCTGGATCTACAGCCTCAGTCCTGGGTCTACAGCCTCAGTCCTGGATCTACAGCCTCAGTCCTGGATCTACAGCCTCAGTCCTGGATCTACAGCCTCAGTCCTGGGTCTACAGCCTCAGTCCTGGATCTACAGCCTCAGTCCTGGATCTACAGCCTCAGTCCTGGGTCTACAGCCTCAGTCCTAGATCTACAGCCTCGGTCCTGGGTCTACAGCCTCAGTCCTGGATCTACAGCCTCAGTCCTGGATCTACAGCCTCAGTCCTGGATCTACAGCCTCAGTCCTGGATCTACAGCCTCAGTCCTGGATCTACAGCCTCAGTCCTGGGTCTACAGCCTCAGTCCTGGATCTACAGCCTCAGTCCTGGATCTACAGCCTCAGTCCTGGGTCTACAGCCTCAGTCCTGGATCTATAGCCTCAGTCCTGTAAATTTGTGAAAAGTCCACAACTTTTCACATATTTTCCAAACTGAAATATCTGTTTTTGTAATCAAATTCTTCCCATATTAATCAAATCCACAAATCTCAGCTCAGACCTGTGACCTTCTAACAAGTCTTTCTTTTGTTTGACAGCGACATGTGACCAGAGGAGATTATTCTGGAGCGTATTTGGCCAAACATGCGGCTAATACCAAATTTGGACGCGAGTGATGTTGTTGCTAACACTAACGGAGCTGAAGGGAAGAAGACTGGGCTGTGCCACAAAGAGGCTGAGAGTGAGACTCCAGAGAGAGAGACCAGAGAGAGACCAGAGAGAGACCAGAGAGAGGGAGACTAGAGAGAGACCGGAGAGAGAGACCGGAGAGAGAGACCAGTGAGGGAGACCGGAGAGAGCAACCAGAGAGAGGGAGACCAGAGTGAGGGAGACCAGAGAGAGCCCGGAGAGAGAGACCGGTGAGGGAGACCGGAGAGACCAGAGAGAGAGACTAGAGAGAGAGAGATCAGAGAGAGGGACACCAGAGAGAAACCAGAGAGACTGAGACCAGAGAGAGAGAGGTAGATCAGAGAGAGACCAGAGAGAGGGAGACCAGAGAGAGACTATAGAGAGCGATCAGAGAGAGCAAGGGACCAGAGAGAGACCAGAGAGACCAGGGAGAAAGATGTATGTAAATCATGTTTTCTGTATGGGAAAGTAAAGTTAGGGAGACCGGCTTAAAAATAATATTATTACAAACTTTTGGTTCAATTTTTTTTTAAATTTATTTATTTATAATTATAACCAACCGTAAACAATTCAAAAGCAAAAAAAGGTAGTTTTTGAAAGACAGAGACGGCAGATAACAGTGGATTGACTGAGAATTTCAGAAACAGATTAAAGATGACAAACAAAACTGGCGCCAAGTTCTTCCATAGCAACCAAACAGCCAATCAGAAGCAAGGATGGGTCGTTCCTTTGAGATGCTATGTCTGACGGAGAGTTACAAAAATCGTGCTTTTGTCATTTGTCGATAAAATCACAGTGAGAAGTGTAACCGATACTTTTACTCAAGTAACAATTGTGTTAAAGTATCACAAGTAAAAAAGCAGTAAAAATTTATAATAATTGCTTTAAATGTCAGTTTAAAGGTGTGTTCCACTGCTGTCCTGATACCTCACCTCTCCATAGCCAAGTGATGTCACAGGACCGGAAAGAGACCGGAGAGAGAGACCAGAGAAAGAAACCCGGGGAGAGATCAGAGGGAGAGACCAGAGAGACCAGAGAGAGACCAGAGAGAGACCAGAGAGAGGCCAGAGAGAGGCCAGAGTGTCATGTGATGTGCCTCGGCTCAAAAAGATTGTTGATCGCTGTGTTGAGAATGCACCTTTAAACTATCCCCACATCTGCCCCTGACCACCTGCAGTTCAGGGGTCCACCGCTGGTACAAAGGGGTCCACCGCTGGTACAAAGGGGTCCACCGCTGGTACAAAGGGGTCCACCGCTGGTACTAAGGGGTCCACTGCTGGTACTGAGGAGTCCACCGCTGGTACTAAGGGGTCCACTGCTGGTACTCAGGGGTCCACAGCTGGTACTAAGGGGTCCACTGCTGGTACTAAGGGGTCCACCGCTGGTACTCAGGGGTCCATCACTGGTACTAAGGGGTCCACCGCTGGTACTCAGGGGTCCATCACTGGTACTAAGGGGTCCACTGCTGGTACTCAGGGGTCCATCACTGGTACTAAGGGGTCCACTGCTGGTACTCAGGGATCCACCGCTGGTATGGTGCTGACTTTGTTGTTGCGGCTGATCCTTCGCTCTGTTTTGGGTCTGGGCAGTTTGGTCTGGATCAGCTCCTCTGGTGTGTTTCCCAGAGGAGGCAGCAGTCTCTTCTTACTGTTCCTGGTTTCTGGTAACCACTGTGGGGGCAGCTCAAAGGGACCAAACCCACACTGAGTCTCGTCCTCTGGTTCTGTGGGCGTGGCTGGTGTTGCAGGAGCCACCTGAGAGGAAGAAGTATACGCACAGATGTGTCCAGGAGAGGAACAAACCGGCAGAGCGGAGAGAGGCCCGGGATGATTCTTGGTTTTCACAAGTGCTTGGTCCTTTGTGGGTAAATCCTCTGAGCTCCTCTCGCTCCTGGTTTTGTCTTTAGCCACAGACGAAGCTTCCAATCCGTGCTCTACATCCTCCTCTTCATCGTCTGGTCTGAAGATCTGCTGTTGTCCTATATTGAACATTTCCAAGAGCTGGCTCCCGGATCTCCCAGCTGCTTCTAGTCCAGCCGGTTCTCCTATGATCCCGCCTTCTCCGCCTAACGATCCCAGCATTCCGGTCGTCACCACGTTCCGGCGGCTGTATCTGCGGTGGATCCTGGTGAGTAAGTCCCACCAGCTGTGTCGCGCCGACCTGTTCACCGTCAGAAACAAAATGGGGTTCGTCACGAGAGAAACCTTTGGAAGCCACAAGGCCGTAAGGTAGAGGAGCATCGGTGTGTCTTTGGAGTCTGCTAAAATGGTCCGATAAATCACAAGGACTCCGTAGGGGGCGCTACAGGCTGAGAACGCTAACACAACAGCTAGCAAAGTGGCGTGTAGCTCGGCCTCTCGCTGCGAAACGTACGGGATAGAGATGCTGCTCTGTGGAGTCCTGAGCGCCGCGATGATGACTTTCTTCTTCTGGCTCGCGCTCAGAGCTCGGCGGATGAGGAGCATGAAGAGAAGGACCAGGGCGAGAGGCAGGACCAGCGTGGTGAGGGAGTAGAGCAGGACGTAGACCAGGTGAGCCGTGGAGTGGGAGGGGTCGTCCGAGCAGGAGGAGCTGGCGTAGACATCGGTGACGTTGGTGAGGGCTAAGGCGGGAAGGCTAACGACCGTGGCGTGGACCCAGATGTAGATGACCAGGTCCCGAGAGCGAGAGTCCGAGATCTTTCTCTCCAGAGGGAACAGCACTGAGTAGTATCTGCGACAGAGAATGTTAGAGATGTTAACGTGTACATGTGTATTCTCACTTTTACCCACTGGGTTTTTGAGTTGCCGAGGCTTAAGCGAGGCAAGATCAAGATTTTAGCCGCATAATTATAGCGTCTGATTTAAGATACGGTAAGTAACTAAGTATTTGTACTTAAGTCCTTTACTTCAGTCTTTTCCAGAGAGATAGACCAGAGAGAGCTCAGAGAGAGACCAGAGAGAGACCAGAGAGAGACCAGAGAGACCAGAGAGAGACCAGAGAGAGACCAGAGACCAGAGAGAGACCAAAGAGAGACCAGAGAGAGACCAGAGAGAGACCAGAGAGACAAGAGAGAGACCAGAGAGAGACCAGAGAGAGACCAGAGAGACGAGAGAGAGACCAGAGAGATCAGAAAGAGACCAGAGAGAGAGAGACCAGAGGGAGGGACCAGTGAGAGATCAGCGATAGACCAGAGAGGGACCAGAGAGAGACCAGAGAGAGACCAGAGAGATAGACCAGAGAGAGATCGGAGAGGGATCAGAGAGAGACCAGAGATACAGTATACCAGAGACCAGAAATATACCAAAGAGACATATACCAGATATACCAGAGAGAGACCAGAGAGGGACCAGAGAGAGACCAGAAAGGGACCAGACTGTGACAAAAGCCCACCTCCATGTCCAGAGCTCTTTCATTCAAACCAGAATAACTCCTCTTGTGTCGTTTTGTTGTGTTTTAAAAATGTCCACTGACTCATTTCTCTCATTGTGATTTGTTGAAGAGCATTCAGGCTCCGCACGGCGCAGCTTGGGAACGCTTCAGACTAAATCATTGATCACAGCCTGGTATTACTGTCGTTGCTATGGAGTCCATGTAATAAAAACATTCTGCATTCGGCTTCTTTATCATACCAGAGACTTCTGGATGATACATGTTGGTAATGTTAGTTGGCAAGCAAATGAGAGAGAGAGAGCAGAGAGAGACTAAAGAGAGAGAGTAGATATAGAGTAAAGGGAGAGTAGAGAGGGAGAGCAGAGAGAGAGTAGAGAGGAACTAGAGTGAGAGAGTAGAGAGAGACCAGAGAGAAAGCAGAGAGAGAGTAGAGTAAGAGTTGAGAAAGACCAGCGAGAGAGACCAAAGAGAGTCAGTGAGAGAGAGACTAGAGAGAGAAAACAGAGAGAGACCGGAGAGAGAAGAAAGAGAAAAAGAGACCAGAGAGAGAGTAGAGAGGGACTAGAGAGAAAGAGTAGAGAGAGAATAGAAAGAGACCGGAGGGTAGTGAGAGCAGATAGAGAATAGAAAGAGAACAGAGAGAGAGAGAGACCAGAGAGAGAGTAGAATGAGAGCAGAGAGAAAGCAGAGAGAGAGTAGAGTAAGAGTTGAGAAAGACCAGAGAGAGAAACCAGAGAAAGACCGGAGATAGTAGAAAGAAAACAGAGACCAGAGAGAGGGACAAAAGAGAAAAAAATAGATCAGAGAGAGAGTAGAAGTGGACCAGAGAGAGAGAGTAGAGAGAGACCGGAGAGTAGTGAGAGAGCAGAGAGAGACCGGAGAGTAGTGAGAGAGCAGAGAGAGACCGGAGATAGTAGAGAGAAAAGAGAGAGAGACCAGAGATCAAAGTGAGACCAGAGAGAGAGACTAGAAAGAGAGACTAGAGAGAGAGACCAGAGTGAGAGCAGAGTCACCTGTCCAGGGCGATGGCGCTGAAGCAGAGCACAGTGACGGAGCAGAAGAGCCTGTGGAGGAACTTGAAAGACTTGCAGACCACGATGGTGTGGATCCACCAGCAGCAGAGGGGACTCGAACCCAGGGCCAGGTCAAAGGGCACGCAGACCAGGGAGGCCCCCACCCCCGCACTGGCCAGACTCTGCACAAAGCGCTTTGTCACCGACCGGAACACGTTGGTGGAGCAGGTGCACCACAGGACGGCGGCGTTTCCTGGACACGCAACAAAATCAGTTAGAGAGAGGGTCTACAGCCTCAGTCCTGGGTCTACAGCCTCAGTCCTGGGTCTACAGCCTCAGTCCTGGATCTACAGCCTCAGTCCTGGATCTACAGCCTCAGTCCTGGATCTACAGCCTCAGTCCTGGATCTACAGCCTCGGTCCTGGATCTACAGCCTCGGTCCTGGATCTACAGCCTCAGTCCTGGATCTACAGCCTCAGTCCTGGATCTACAGCCTCGGTCCTGGATCTACAGCCTCGGTCCTGGATCTACAGCCTCGGTCCTGGATCTACAGCCTCGGTCCTGGTTCTACAGCCTCGGTCCTGGTTCTACAGCCTCAGTCCTGGATCTACAGCCTCGGTCCTGGATCTACAGCCTCAGTCCTGGATCTACAGCCTTGGTCCTGGGTCTACAGCCTCAGTCCTGGATCTACAGCCTCGGTCCTGGATCTACAGCCTCGGTCCTGGGTCTACAGCCTCAGTCCTGGATCTACAGCCTCAGTCCTGGATCTACAGCCTCGGTCCTGGTTCTACAGCCTCAGTCCTGGATCTACAGCTTCGGTCCTGGGTCTACAGCCTCAGTCCTGGATCTACAGCCTCGGTCCTGGGTCTACAGCCTCAGTCCTGGATCTACAGCCTCGGTCCTGGATCTACAGCCTCGGTCCTGGGTCTACAGCCTCAGTCCTGGATCTACAGCCTCAGTCCTGGATCTACAGCCTCGGTCCTGGTTCTACAGCCTCAGTCCTGGATCTACAGCTTCGGTCCTGGGTCTACAGCCTCAGTCCTGGATCTACAGCCTCAGTCCTGGATCTACAGCCTCAGTCCTGGATCTACAGCCTCAGTCCTGGATCTACAGCCTCAGTCCTGGATCTACAGCCTCAGTCCTGGGTCTACAGTCTCAGTCCTGGGCCTACAGCCTCAGTCCTGGGTCTACAGTCTCAGTCCTGGGCCTACAGCCTCAGTCCTGGGTCTCTAGTTTATATACAGAGCTTAAGCAAGTACTGTAGTACTCTCTCTCTCTCTGGTCTCTCTCTGGTTTCTCTCTGGTCTCTCTCTGATCTCTCTCTCTGGTCTCTCTCTGGTCTCTCTCTGGTCTCTCTCTCTCTGGTCTCTCTATGGTCTCTCTCTCTTTCTCTCTCTCTCTAGTTAAAAATCTAAACATTAGTGTGGCTTTATTAAAAATAAGAAAAGAGAGAATCTGGCGACATGAGATTAACAAACTGTACATTCAAAAAATCAATTTTTTCTCTCTCCTCTAATCGAAGTCTCGAGCCTCTTCTCACAATTATCACTGCTCTGAGTGTCGCTGGTGTTACTGTAAAACCAACACCAAACTAAAAACAGATGGTATTTTTATTGCACACAATTAGCACTGATTTTATGAACTCTTACAAAGATGAATGAACACATTAAAAATGATTAAAGTCAGAGTTCCTCATTTTACATTTCATCAAAATGTTTTGTTTGTGCAACAGAAAGAGTCTTGTTTAAGCAACATTTCAAGATCAAAGAGAAAGACCAGAGAGAGACCAGACATAGACCAGAGAGAGACCAGAGAGAGACCAGAGAGAGACCAAAGAGAGACCAGAGAGAGACCAGAGAGAGACCAGACATAGACCAGAAAGAGACCAGTGAGAGATTAGAGAGAAACCAGAAAGAGACCAGAGAGACCAGAGAGAGACCAGAGTGATCAGAGAGAGAGAGAGACCAGAGAGAAACAGAGACACCAAAGAGCGACCAGAGAAAGAGCAAATAGAGACCAAAGACCAGAGAGACAAGAGAGACCAGAGAGAACCCAGATGGAGAGACCAGAGAGACACCAGAGAGACAGAAGAGAGAGACCAGAGAGACACCAGAGAGAGAGAGCTATACAGTAGGTCACTGTGCCTTGAGTATGAGCTGAAGGGGCAGTAATTGGTGATAATGGAGTTGACATGGTTGAACTTTCACAGGAAACACACATGGTTTCATAACACTGGCTTCGTGAGGAACCATCTCTTCAAAACCTATTACCTTCAAAACACTGAGCACCAGAAGCAGCGACAGACCCGAGAGTGACACAGAGTGGTGCTTAAAGGGAACATAAAGATCCACTTTCCTCTGCTTCTGGTTATCTTCCCGCTGTTTTCGCTTGTTGTTTGCACTAAGCTGGTTTTGTCCAAGCAGGTAATGTGTTTCTTCATATATACGCACCGCCATTGCTCTCCTCTCAGTCCGGGGTCTACAACCTCAGTCCTGGATCCAAGCCTCAGTCCTGGGTCTACAGCCTCAGTCCTGGGTCTACAGCCTCAGTCCCGGGTCTACAGCCTCAGTCCCGGGTCTACAGCCTCAGTTCTACAGCCTCAGCCTTGGGTCCAGTCATCCCACTCCCAATGGCTCCTATATGCGTTTGTTATTATTGCATTCGGACGCGCTCTGACACACACACGCACGCACTCACTCACACACACACGCACGCACACACACACACACACACGTACGCACACACACACACACACTCATGCTGTTGAGAGCAGGTCTGTGGAGGTGAAGTGTTTATTGGCTTTTGTCTCGTATCTGATGGCGATAACACTTTTAACCATTCAATCTGTGTGTTCTGCAGCAAAGGCACAGGGTTCGATCCAATGTTTTTGTGGACAGCACTGAATTACAACAGAAGTCGTCTCAGAAGATTTTACAAAGTTGTGGATTCCTCAACAACCGATCAGAGAATCAAAATTTCAAAAATAGCTGCCAATCTGTAGACCCAGGACTGAGGCTGTAGACCCAGGACTGAGGCTGTAGACCAAGGACTGAGGCTGTAGACCCAGGACTGAGGCTGTAGACCAAGGACTGAGGCTATAGACCCAGGACTGAGGCTCTAGATCCAGGACTGAAGCTGTAGACCCAGGACTGAGGCTGTAGACCCAGGACTGAGGCTCTAGCTCCAGGACTGAAGCTGTAGACCCAGGACTGAGGCTGTAGACCTAGGACTGAGGCCAGGCCCGGACTGGCCATCGGGAGCATCGGGAGATCTCCCGGTGGCCTGCGTGTCAAAGTGGCCTGGGCCTGCCCTATCATCACGATCTTTTTTTCTTTTCTTTTTTTCTTATTTCTTTTAATTTAATTTCATCCTCACGGTCTTTGCAAACTCCTACCCTGCCTGGTGGCCTGGTCCAATGAGCAAGGCCCAGGCCAAAGGCAGTGTTGTGCGTGAACGAGTTCAAAAGAACGCGTTCATTGAACACGCTCATTTTTTCGTGTAACGTTGAACACATTTTTTAATAAATAACTTGAACGTGAATTAATTCATATTATGTGTCATGAACGGCAGACAATTTGTTTTCCATTTAAAACTGAGTGAAATCTGTTTTCTCTTTTGAAACGCAACGAGAGAAAGTTCCTCCCTCCTGTATTCTCCGCACTGTTTCCGTCGAAAACTAAAAATTCCTACGGTTTCCACCGTCTGTGAACGCACCCCGACTCAGTGTACTTGCGGTGCGGCGCTATATGCTAGTGCTATTCATTGGTTGTTGGACTCACATGTGCCGTGATGAAAACACAGGGGTAAGTCAGTGACACAGGGCCGTTTACATTTGACATAAAGTATAGACACACGTTCTGCAGCGCATTACAGTTTGTACTTATGAGCAGAGATGGGACAACTCAGTTCCCATTGAAACCCATGTAAATCTTGTCTGCATTGGAGTCAAAACATCCTGTGCAGTGTACAGGATATAATATATATATATATATATATATATATATATATATATATATATATATATATATATATATATATATAACCACGTATTGTGATTTCTAGCTCGTAGTGAAAAAAAATATTTATTTGAATATCTCGCAAAAAGTAAAATGAACTGAACTTTGAACTAGTTCAGAATTAAAATTGAGAACTTCGAACGTGAACTGTTCACTTTGAGCATGTATGAACTGAACTTGAACTTGTTCAGAAAAGCTGTGAACTGGCACAACACTGGCCAAAGCTTTACTGTCATTGGGCCAGAGCAAAATGAAACAAATGTGACGTCACACGTCGGCTACACAGCCAGGCCAGCCTAGCAGTGCACCCAGTGTAGCTTCCCCGGTTGAAATCAGTGGTCTCTCCAACTGATGGTTCATACACGTTGTTATTTTTCCTTTTATATGAGCTGTAACGATGTGATTTTACCTTACTACTTTTTTAACAATAATTGATTAGCTTGTTATAGTTATACACTAATGAACACTTAGTTCATTGTGTGTGTGTGTGTGTGTGTGTGTGTGTCTTTATTCTCACTAAACTCCATAAACGTTACGTTGCTAAGCAACGTACAACAATCTTTAAACGTCCGAGATTATATAAACAGTCAATATAAAAAGAAATAAAGAAAACAAAAGTTTTGACAGTCAATCTTAAAACTATTAAAAGAACATCAAAATACAATGACAAAAACCCAAATTTAGAACCTTGTTTGGCCTGAATGGATGAAAAGCTCCCGGCCTGAAATGTTGTCCCACTCCGGCCCTGACTGAGGCTCTAGATCCAGGACTGAAGCTGTAGACCAAGGACTGAGGCTGTAGACCCAGGACTGAGGCTCTAGATCCAGGACTGAAGCTGTAGACCCAGGACTGAAGCTGTAGACCCAGGACTGAGGCTGTAGACCCAGGACTGAGGCTGTAGATCCAGGACTGAGGTTGTAGACCCAGGACTGAGGCTGTAGACCCAGGACTGAGGCTGTAGACCCAGGACTGAGGCTGTAGACCCAGGACTGAGGCTGTAGACCCAGTTCATAGCATAAACATGTTATAGTATAGTTCATATAATATTTTCCCATGATGAATGCACTTCTTATATTCTGTTACAACAATAATAGTTGTTACAGTGCATCTGTGGCAAAGAGACAGACGTGAGATCGATGTGAGGTCTGTCACTGAGCACTTTCAGAGAGTTATTGATGTGTGTGCGTAGGTCTGTAGAATCACAGCCTGTGGACACTGGAGGTCACAGGATCAATAC